CCTTATTTCTTTGCTTGCCTTGCACCACAGAACACCCAGTGCTAGCATACAGTAGGTATTCAATAAATGTTTGTCAACTGAATTAAGGAAGGAAGGAATGGTATCGAACCTGCACTCTGTGAACAGAGCAGAAGGCGCCTGTCCTTATGGGGCTCATAGTTCAGCTCCATGTTTACCCAGCTTCACAAATTGTCTGGTTCTTGAGCTACCTGTGAACCACACCAGCAGCCTAGCGGTCAAATCTGCCTCACGTATTTTATGTGACTCATTCCATGTTTTAGAAAAGGTTGAGTTAACATTTAAAAATTGGTAGATTTCACATACAAATCTGGATTTCCAGCTTCTCTTGGGAAATGGATGAATGTGGCAATGTTGGTTTCTGTGCTCGAATGACATACTTCTCACTGGTTCCTTCCATAGGCACAGTCTCCATGGTCCCTCCACTCCCCTGTCTCCCCCTGACAGTTGCCCCTTATCACTGAGTTTGCACTATAGTTTTCCTTAGAATAAAGACATTTGCTTTATATTTATGCTTCTAGCAAAAGTTGGAGCATGAAAGGCTGAATGAGTCACATGAGTCAAGAAACAGGATATTCATTCATTTAACAAATACTTATTGCCAACCCCCTCAGTGGCAGGCAGGGTTGTAGATGCCGGAGGCACAGCAGTGGACAGCATGGACGAATATCCCTCCCTCCTGGGGCCTCAATCCATACACTGTGTGACTTTCTTTCCACAAGGGGAGACATTTGAGTTACTCCCCCAATGAGAAAGGCTGCCTCTGTGTCTGCCATCATCCATGAAGACTACATCAGTTTCCAGTAAGCACCTACTATGTACTAATCCCTGACTGGTCTGGTACAACCAAAATGCCCAATAAATATTTGTTAAAGGAACGAACTAAATTTACCTTTCTCCTAAATGGTGTTGGTCTATCTTATTTCCCCAGGATTTATTCAAAAGATAAGCAAGGAGTAGGTGCTCACTTAAGGCCAACTGGATGAAAAGGTCCAGGGTAAGAGTGGAGGGCTGACAAGGGAAGTGCTGGCTACAGGAGGCAGAGCCCTGGGAAAGGAAGGAACGTGACAAACATTAGGACCCCTGCCAGAGCTCACAGCACTCTCATGGTGGCCCCGGGAAGTAGTTGATAGGATTCTCAGGCGACAGACAAGGATATAAGCTGGAAGGAAAGCCCCTTGGCCAAACTCACAGGTTCCAAAAAGGAATACAGGAGGAGGCCCATCTGCCCTCAAAGCCCACGCTTTCCCCACCCACCCAGGGGGTGCGCCACAGACTTACTGTGGGGGATGGGGAAAGTTGGAAAGGGCCCCTGGAAGCCTCCCTCCCCCTTGAAAAACTATCCTCTTCCACTAGGATGCCTGGAAGTCCACCATAAGCAGGCTGCTTCTCTTTTGACTCCTGACTTTTGAACTATGTGAATTCATTTATCAGATTCATTTCCTCCTAATCTGTTCCAGCAAACATTCAATATGTGAGAAAGGTGTGTGTGGTAGGGACTCTGAAATATTAGTTTATTTTACAAGGGGGAAGGGGGAGAGCTAAAAAGAGGAAAGGGTCCCATCTCTGCCCTTACTAGGTCATCTGGTAAGAGAAGCCCAGTGGCCAAAGGGTCGCTCACAGTTAAATTACTGTGCCTCATGGAAGCCACCAAGTGCTCCTCAGCTTCCTAGGAAGGTGGGGCCTCACTCCAGGAGGCTGGGCCTGGGGACTGGGCAGAGCACGATGAATGGTTGGAGGGAGGGTCCCAGGCTGAACCTCAGCCGAGGGTACGCGATGAGGGTAAGACACGAGCTCTCTGCCTGCTGTGGCTGCAGCCGGGCAAAGCAGATTAAGCCTGCAGCCTCTGCCCTCGGCTAACCTCCACTTTTGCTGCACCTGAAATCCGGCCATTTGGGACAAAGACGAGGTCTCTGGGGCGAGGGGAATGTAAGCCCCAATAACTAAGGCGCCGGGGTCTTTCGGGATCATGGCGGACTCAGAGCGGTTTAAACGTCCCTTCCTCCACGAAGCCTTCCACACTTCCCTGGCCAAAAGGAGGGCTCTGGGCAGGTCTCCGCGCCCAGGCCGGCAGGGTGCTCCCTGCTTTGGGCTGAAGCCTGGTGCGTTCTGGCCTGCGCGCTCCTACGTCGCCGCGTGCCTTCCCGCACGGAGCCAGCCACCAGCAAATACCTCTGGGCTGAACCACGAATTGCTCAGCCAGGCCTTTAAGACCCGGGGCCGCCTGGGTCCAGGCCCGGTTCAACAAGTGTGGGCCGGGCCGCCCATTCCGCCCGACGGCTTCGCGCCTCCCCAGGCGCCCGGGGCGCGCCGACCCGGCTGGGCCCAGTCGGGCGAGTTTCACTTCATCACCCGCAGAGCGTGTAAGCGCCAAATAACGTTGCCCCTTCCCCTCCCTCCTCTCCTCTGCTCCCTCCGAAACTCCGAAACTCCAGTTGGCGAACGCTAGCATTCCCGCTGGGAGGTACCCGAAGGGCGGCGGCCCCCGCCCCCGCCCGGCCACCCCGCCCAGGCCGCGAGGCCACCTCACCGGCAGCGGAATGGAAACCGGTTCGACAGGTAACAAATAGGTGGGTTGTCACCGTTATTTCCCAACGCATGCGCCTTCGCTCCCCGGGCCACTCCAAGCTAATTAGTTCAGATCACCCCCTCCCCGCCCCAGCCACCAACACACGCCGCCGCGAGCCAATAAAGCGTGAACCCGTCCGGCCGGCTCGCACTTTAAGACTTCCCGAGCGGCCGCGGGGGACGCCAGTCGCGCCGGGAGACGCTTACCTGCCGCTTCCCCAGCCGCCGGGTGCACCTGGCTGCAAGCGACCTCATTCGAACGGAGGACGGCGACAGCTCCGCGTAGTTGAAACGGGCGCGCGCAGTCCCGGACACGGCCTCTCGGCGGAACGTCGGGCGCTTCGGCGACTTCGTCCCCGACCTGCCCTCCTCCCCCAGCCCGTCTCCAGCCCGGCCCGGGAAAGGTGGGACGGCTCCGGCTCTAGTTACGGAAGCGGACGGTGCCGGGCGAGAAGGATTCGAAAATGCCCCGCGCGTTTCTGGTGAAGAAGCCGTGCGTCTCCACGTGCAAGAGGAATTGGAGCGAACTCCCCGACGAGGAGCGCGGCGAAATCTACGTGCCAGGTGAGGCGCCCGGCCCGAACGAGCAGGCGGCGGGGCCTCGGTCGAGGCGGCGGGCGCGCGGGGCTCAGTGGCGCGGAGCCGGGCGGCCGGCGCAGTTGGGGCGCCCGATTTAATGTTTAAGCGGCCGCGGCCCCGTTAGCCCGCGGCGCGGCCGACCCCGGGCGCGGGGGGAGGGGAGGGCAGGGCCGGCGGAAGGAGCCGGCAGGTGGGGGCGGGGGCCGTTAGGTGGGGGCAACCGCCGTTCCCAGGCCCCGCGGCGGGGCGGGGGACAGGCGGTTCTGAGGCGCGCGAGCCCGCGCGGTGCCGCCCTCCTCTCCGCCGACCCAAGCCTCGGCGCAGGGGAGGCAACGGGGTGTGTCACCGCTCAGGCGACCCTCCACTCTCGCGTCGTAAATCTAGAAAGCCGGGACTTTTATGAGGCCGAAGAAGGGCACTGGAGCGATGCCACTTTGGGGGCAGGGAGCTGGAGTTTCGGCTGATATGTGTTTTTAAAAAAAATGTAAGATAAGACCCAAAGTTTAAGCTACCTTCGTTGACTCTCCCTCTCACACACCATACTGGTGGCCAGAAGGTCGCGGTGAGGATCCGGCCGGCGGGGAGCTCCCAGATGTGGGGAGCGCAGAGGCTCTGGGGACGGCGCCCGGCTGCACCCCACTAGCCCTGAAGACAAAGGTGGAATCATGTCTTATCTCGATTAGAAACGCACTTCCTTCAATCTTGCAGAGGACACCGTTGAGCTGAAAGTGGTTTTAAGGAGCCCACCCCACAGCCAGGGAACCAGGCCCCAGGGAAGCGGGTTGCACCGTTTCTTTGCGGAAGACGCCTTGACGGCGTCCGAGTCAATTTTGAATAAGTAACCCCAGTTGTTTCTTTCTACAGGGTCATATTCCTCATTAGTCCCGAGAACTCTTCTGCTCCTTCTGTCCTCCCCGACCCCCAACAGAATCTTCCGTCAGGAGCTAGCCAGTTCCTTCGGACTCCCCCTCCCCAGGCCTTGCGGGTGGGGCCGGGGTGCGCTGAACACCCTACCCAGCGCCTCCAATGGGGGAGAGGTTGTAATTAACCAACCGACTTTGACCCTTGATCTGCAGGCTCCCCGGCACCGCCCCAGGCCTTGAAGGAAAGTGGTGAAATGAGGGCGGTAGGGGCCCTGTGAGGGCTCTTGCCTCAGTTTCTCTCCTGAATAAATTGTTAGAGACAGTGGCTGGAGTGGTGAGGTCTTTGTGGCCTGACATGTCAGCATCCTATGGCCTATGGCCCTGGCGGGAGGTTTCACAGCTTAACTTTATCTCAGGCGCCTAGGCCCCTTTCGGCAGCCTCCTTAAAACAAGGGAATGTGCCAGAAGTCCTGATAACTCCAGTAGAGAAACTGACAAAAACGGAAGTGAGCTGCTTCCTCACCTGAGGTGGATCACGGTGTGGGCCCCAGATTCTGTGTATAGTTTCTTGCTCCTCCAAGTTCCCTGGGGAGTTGACTGGTGGTGCACCTCCACAAGAGCCCTGTGAGGGGTGAGGGACGCCGTCCCCCTTCCTTGCTCCTGCCTCCTCCCTCACTTGGGTTTGACCTGCTGCTTAGCTGCTCCTTGGGATCTGATAAACTGAACTTGGACTGTGTTAAAGGTGAGCAGAGCCTTGCCTGAGATTCAATGTGCTGTTATTTTTAGTTTTATTTCACATCCCAATCAGTAACAGATCATGTGGTGACTTTTACAAAGGACAAAGAAATTCCGCTTGTTCAAATCATTGACTTCCTTGCGTCCTAGTGATTTTCCCCACCACAGTTCTGGTGGCCAAAGTGGGAGTGGTGGGGGTGACCTGTACCCCAGGGGCTGACCCCTCAGGTGAGGAGGCGGGTGTCTGGGTGGTCTGTGCACCTGCTGTTGCTGTCCAGGTGAGGGGAGCTGCTCACTCTGCAGAATCATCCTTGATGTTGGGTGGGGTCTGACCTGGAGGTGCAGGTGAGAATTTGCCAGAGAGAGTCCTGTGGGGGTCCAGCAAAGAGGAGAAGTCAAAGAACTTGCTTTTGCCTTTAAAAGCCAAGTGGCTCACTGGAGAGTTTTCCCACAGCTTTTGGAAATGAGAAGGGGAATGTTATCAGGCCACGCTCGGGTGCCTCAGATGGCTGGAGAGTGGGGAGTGTGTTTCGTGGTGGCCTGTCCCCTGGCTGGGCCATTCCATCACCAGCCGACCGTGACCCCAGGAGCCGGCTGGGCACGTTTCCTTCACCCCACCTCACACACTCAGCACGTTGTGACCAGCTAAGCATTGACTCCGTCCGGTCCCACTGGGAGAGGCACCGGGAGGGCTGGGGAGCAAAGCATTTAAGGTCTGACCTTCCCACCAGGGCCCTCTGAGACCCTTAAAGTGGCAGAGAGTGCCCGGAAAGAAAGCATTTACTGACTTAGAGCCCTGGGCCCCAGTCTGACCAGCACTCCAGCCTCTCTCCCTGAGGCACAGTTCTAGAGGTTTCCTATCCTCAGTCCCCTGGGCCTCACTCTCCTCCCAAAGCTGAGGGAAAAGCCCAGAAGTGGGCACAGGGGCTGGAAGGCTGCAAGGGTGGAAGATGGCTCTACTCATGCTGGGAGCATTGAAAGGGGTCATGTTTAAGATGCCACCTATTTGGGCCCTCAAGGTCCAAGAGCCCACACCTGAGGCCCCCCGCCACATTTCCCCTGGTGTTTCTGCTTTGTTTTGCCAGTATTGACTTTGGAGTGCAGGGAGTAGAGTAATGCTGGTTTCTTGAGAATGAACCCAGGCATCTGTATCCAGGAGTTAAATTCCATCTCCCGGACTGAAGAGGAAGCTTGAGGAAAGGCCAGGAAGGCACTTGAGGGTAGACAAGGCCTGGAAGCTGAATGATATGCTCCCAGCCATGAGCATCCCAGGGCCTCTTCCAGGCCCCCAACCACCTGCTCCCCTGTTTCAGACAGAGCCTCTGCAGTGTGTTCTGCCAGTTCATCAGCACGTGCCCACCCCAGGGAGGCAGCCAGGCTGAGGTGCCGGAGACTGGAGTTCCCTCAGTCTGGCTCTGACTAGGTAGTGTGGGAACCCAGGCAGCTCTCTTTCAGCTTTGGGCCCCAGAGTGCATGTGTGGGGGGCGGGAGGGAGTGGCACAGGAGGAGAGATTATGCCTCTGTTGATGATTATTCTTATAATTCCGGGGAAGTGTTGGCAGTAAAGGACGAGTCTTGGTGCCCTCCAGGGAGCAAGGCTGGGACAGTAGACAGCCAGGCCACAGATGGGGACAGTGTAGCTGGGCAGTGAGTAGATGGGATTCATAGTGTCTCCCGGGTGCTGCCACCCAAGCTGCCGAGCTCTCACTCCCTAGCTTGGGTGACCCGAGGCAGAATCCTGCCTGACGATTTGTCCCAGAAAGAGAGCAGGTGAGGACGAGTCCTCTGGGCACAGGGAGGACAGGAGCAAAGCGTGGCCATTATTGATGTCAGGGTTCCTTTTTAACGCGGTTCACTTTCCATGAGTGTTGTATGAGGTCCCTCAGGGATGTGGAGCCCCTGGCTGCTCAGAAGCCTAGTTGTGGTGGTTACGGCGGCCACCCTGGTGTGAGGGCTGAGGTGCACAGTTTTAACTTCATTACGGACACAATATGAAAAGCGGTTGGGAAAGAGGGGAAAGATACTGCCTGAGAGAAAACTTGGCGCTAACAGAATGGAAACTGGCAGGTCAAGAGATGGGCCCATTGTGTTTGCAGGGCTGCACAGTTCTGCCAGTTGGCGGCACTGGTTTCCTTTCAGGCATTACTAGCTGACCTGCTGGGGTGGGAGGAGACGGGCACGGGGGACCCCTGCCCTTCCTGATAAGGGCGCACAGTCCCCTAATGCCGGCCTGGGCTGGGCTGGGCAAACACACTGGGCTCCCCCGACCCTGATTCAGAGCTGAGTTACCCCCAACCCCTCCCCACCAGGTCAGCACCAGCCCCTGTGTATCAGAGGCTTGGTGTCCTCACATCTGCTTCACCTGCTTTCCCCAGAGAGGCTGGCACCAGGCCTCGTGCCCAGCCCTGGCCTGAAGCCTTGGATGGAGTAGGACCTGCCACTCTGTCTAGTATTTGGGCCAGGAGCTTTCAACCCAGGAGAGAAGGGGAGGTCTGCTGAGGTGAGGGAAGAGAAGGCCCTCAGGTGGGAAGCTGCTCTGGGCCCGTGCCCGCCACGTCATCCAGGTGGAGGCAAGTTGGGCCACCAGAAGGGAACCCTGGAACCCCCGAGGGTGCAGGGAGAGGGCCTGGCCAGTTTGGCCTTGCCACACTCTTTGGCTGTGGGCGGGCAATGAGTAGCCAAAGCGGCTGCTACCTTGCCGGAAACATCTAATTAGGGGACAGAGAGCAGCATAAGCAGGGCCCAACCAGTTCTGCTTCCTGCCACGCGGCAACACCCAGTGACAGGAGCGGCGGCCGGGAGCACTCCCTGTGCGTGCGGCCACAGCAGGGCACGCTCACGGGGGTGGCAGGGTGACAGGTTTGGCGGGGCAGGTGGGATGAGGCAAACAGCCCCACCCTGGCAGCCATGCGGCTGCTGATCCAGCCTCACCGGCCCCTTGCTCGCTCGGGGTGGAAGCCGCACGAGGCAGACCAGGCAGGCCCCGCCCTGACCCCGGTTCCTCAGCACCATCACTTCGAGGTTTCTGTGGAATGAGAGAGGCAGGCACAGGAAACAGTTCTCCTGAACCAGCGTAGATCCTTGGAACCCTAGCCATGGACCCCCCTCTAGTGGAGCAAGAGTGATTAACCCTCACCTGCAGTCTCTCCTCCCTCTGCTGCTCCGTGTGCAGGTGGTATGGCCGGGCTCCAGCTTTTGGGAGCCACACTCACGCCATCCAATACTGAAAGACAGAAGAGGGTAGAGGTTCCTGTTTGTTTCTCCCTGGGTTGAGAAATTGAAATTGTCATTCAGCTTTGAATTCTCAGCCAATTGCGGGTAATCTGGCCTCAGAAGCTGCCAACGCTCTGCCACGCCCACCCTCCTGCGGCCCCCAGCCCATGTACGCAGGGCTGTCGCTGTGGGAAGATAGGAGGGACCCCAAGAGTTCCGGCCTGACACCAGCCATCCAGGGCTTAGAGAGGCCAGGCCAGGGCCAGCCTCTGGTGAATCAACTCTCGGAATGAGGTGGCTCATTAGAGTCCTTGGACGGACAGACAGACGGCGCCAGTGCCAGCAGAACGGGTTTGGGTGGCGGGCAGGCGCATTCTTCCCTAGTCAGACCTTTGTTGTGTTTTGAGGGGGCGAGAGCTGGGGCCTCTCCCGAAACTTCGGTGCCTTCATATTCACCCTTCCTCCATTAATGTGTTCCTCTGCCTCCCCCACGTCCTGTCCCTCTGCCTCCAGCCTTGCTCACTGGGTCCTGGGAGAGGAGGCAAGGGGTCACCCCTCCCTGGGCCTGGTCCACTGTCTCACCAGCTACGGGCGGTGGGCGCAGGGGGCCTTGGTCATGATTCTGAGACCCTAACTCAACCTCCTAAGGCCCTCACCCTGAAGTTCATTCATCCTTTCCTTCCTGTACCCCTGTTGATTTTTCCTTCTGAGGCTTGGAAAATTTTCCTAGCTTATGGGTTTTAAATATACAGCTAAACCTTTTTGGGAGAAAAATACTAACTAAATTGAAACACGACATCATTTGCCTCAGCCCCGTGGGCTTTGAGACTTGTCTCCTCTGCCACTCGGGAGAACTCTCCCTCTTCTCTATCAGGACCAGGGCATGAGGGGGTCTGCTGTGTGGAGCAGCACGTTAGAGGGCTGCCAGGTATCCCTGCACCTTGTGGAGGGCGGGAACCTGGCCCTCAAAGTGCCACAGTGAGCGGTCCCTGCTGTGGGGGAGGGTTGCGTAACAGCCGGGCAGGCTGCCCAGGAGACTGTTAGGCCGCATCCACCTGCTGCTCCCTGACCTCCTCCCTGCTCCACCCAACCTGGCCTGTTTGCCTGCCAGGCTGGGCCAGTGGGAGTGGGGAGCCTGGGGCCCTGATGAGCTGCAACAGCAGGGACTGGCCAGCCTGGAGGAGGAAGAGGTTAGGACCACTCAGTTTCCCAAGGCCAGCAGCTAAATCTGCCTGGAGGAGAGGCCCATAGTGGCCCAGACCACCAGGATTCTTCTGGGGCAGGGATGAGTCCCTGGGGCCCAGGGCCTCCAATGGTGCCCTTTGTCCCTGAGGAGAGTGGCTGAGGCCTGGAATCCAGAGGGACAGGCCCAGGTGGGGCAGGCAGACAACTCGGGAGGAATAATTGGCAGGGCAGGTTCGGTCCTCCCAGTTCCGCTAAGACACAAATTACTCAGCGGGCAGGCCTGTGGGCTGTGGTGCTTGGCTGGCGTCACCTGTAATTACCTTAATGGGGCGGGAGGGAGGTGCAGCATGCAGTGGGCTGTGGGTAGCCCTGCTCTGCTACATGCCTGCAAGGGGTGGGACAGAGGTTCCAGGTTCCAGCCAGCTCATTGCCAGGGAACCTTCCTGAAATCCCTCTGAATCCTCTGTTTTCCACCAAGCCCCTCACCTGGCTGTTCTCCTCCCAGTCAGCCTGGGCTTCTGCCCACCACAGCCGTACCAGGAGCCAGAGCCATCGGTTGCCGAACCCCCTTCTTGCCCTCTGGCTTTGGACATGAGCCTTCGGGACTCCACCTACAGTGTGGCCCCCGGGCCCTGCGTGGTGGCCCAGCTGCCCTCTGAAGACGTGAGCCGCTTGGCAGACCCCCAGAGCAGAGACCATGGCTTCCTGCGCACCAAGATGAAGGTACTGATCTTCACGCTGTCTATGAGGATCAGGGGTGCCTGTGTACACCCATGTCCAGCCCACAAGATGTGGCACAAATGAAATCTAAGCAGAGATTGGCTTTGGATCTGGGTCCAGGTTTCTGCAGGGAAGTGAACCTCACTGGGCATAGGTTGGGTGGGAAGGAAGAGCAGTGGGTCTAAAGTGGAATGTCACACGGTGGGAAGAGGCAGTGGGATTCCAAAGACATTTAACCCTTTGGAGTCCATTCTAGGGGTTGTTCAGTTTCATTTCTGGCCTAAAGGGGAGACACCTCTTTACACAGAAGTCCTAGGAAAAGTGAGCCTAGCTTTGCACCTGGGCCTGGCCCACATCTGTGCTGCATCAAGAGTGATGGCCGGAGCCTGTTCGGTTCTTAACTGTCCCCTGCGGCATATGCCTGACAGTCTCCACCTCACCCATGTGTGCTTCCAACCCTGTCAGCAGAGCCTTACATCTGGGGCGGGCCTGGTGAGCATGCACTGCTCAGCGGCAGAGGCAGTAAGGAGCCCAGGCGGCAGCGGAAAGGAAGTGCCCCTGCTTTCGAGGAGCAGGCGAACAGCTGGGCTGTCTCTGGCTGGGTCTGCATTCCTGAAAGCTCTGGGATCTGGAAGCACCCGCCAGCAGTGATCTAGTGAAAAGGCTCGGAGAGCTATCATAAGTGCCAAGACTGAAGAAAACTGGCAGTGGAATGCTGTTCCTGCCTCTCTCACCTGCAGAGGCCAAATGTTTGTTGTAATGAGAGAGAAACCGCTAAGATAAGTGCTGGGTGGTTGGCCGGAGAGTCAGCACAGCACCCCTGGTCCCCTGAGGGTCCTTCTCCCCACCCCTTGAACCCCAGTGGGTAGGGAGGGTGTGGGGAGAGAAAGCAGAGGGCACAGGACAGCAGATGTGCCAGAGCAGTGAGTCCTGACCCAAAAGGGCTTGACAGTGCAGGCCAGGAGGGTGATGGGTGCATCTGGTGCCCCGGGGAGCTCGGGGGAAGTGGCCAGCGACAGGGCCACCACAAAGCACAAGTAACCTCCAAACATTCCCAGAGGTAGAGCACTGGGACCACGTCTCCACTTCTGAACAGATTTGAGATGTTCCGTAATTACCAAAAAAATGAAAAATGTTTATAAACAAGACAGTCATCAGGGTGGCAAAGGAACTCATATCATACCATGCCAGACCTGGCTCAAGTAAGACCAGGGGCTGGGCTGGCCTGTGAGGGGACTCTGGGCTCCCAGCGGTGGCCTCAGCCTGGAAAGGCTGCAGAGGCCACGCTGTGGACCCTTTCCCCTATCCTAAGGCGCAGAATGAGAACAGAGAGGCGGCAGTGGGGGAAGGGAGGGTATAGCTCAGTGGTGGAGCACATGCCTAGCATGCCCAAGGTCCTGGGTTCAATCCCTAGTGCCTCCACCAAAATAAATAAATAAACCTAACTATCTCCCCCATAAAAATAAAAAATAAATTTTAAAAATAAATATTATTTAAAAAAGAATGAGAACAGAGAGCTACAGAGAAAGATTTGGGCTCAGGGGAGGGAGGACTTTCTAAAAGATAAAGTTGCTGAATCAGGCTGTTTCTGTAGAGAGTTGGCCACCCATTTCTAGAGATGGTAAAGAAGGGGCTGGATGGCAGCCTTGAAAGGGACTCAGGACCATGCAGGAGGCTGCCCATGGACCCAAGGGTTTCTTCTAGCCCTGCCACCCCATCTCCATGAGCCTACTGCACAGAGCTGTGGCCTCTGGGGTGGGCACTGCTCCCCTCGAGGGGGCTGGTGTATGTGTCCTCCCAGTCTGCCACCTGCAGCCCCAGCTCCTGGGCATCCACCACAAACACTATCCTTGCCACAGGTGACCCTGGGGGACAGTCCCAGTGGAGACCTCTTCACCTGCCACATCTGCCAGAAGGCCTTCACCTATCAGCGCATGCTAAATCGCCACATGAAGTGTCACAATGATGTCAAGAGGCACCTCTGCACCTACTGTGGGAAGGGCTTCAACGACACTTTCGACCTGAAGAGGCACGTGCGCACCCACACTGGTAAGAGGAGCCCCGGCCGCCCCACGGAGGCCACTGCGGCGAGCGCTGCCGTCTTGGGTCACAAGTGGCCTGGGGTCTCAGAGTAGACATCCTCTGTGGCTCACCAGTTAGGTCACTGGGGGAGCTGGAGTTGGGCAGGCCTCTGTCTGTTCCTCTTCCCGAGTCAGGTCCCTGATGCCAGACCGTGTCCTCCCTACAGGCGTGCGGCCCTACAAATGCAGCCTGTGTGACAAGGCCTTCACGCAGCGCTGCTCCCTGGAGTCGCATCTCAAGAAGATCCATGGCGTGCAGCAGAAGTACGCGTACAAAGAGCGGCGGGCCAAGCTGTACGTGTGTGAGGAGTGTGGCTGCACGTCTGAGAGCCAGGAGGGCCACGTCCTGCACCTGAAGGAGCACCACCCTGACAGCCCGCTGCTACGCAAGACCTCCAAGAAGGTGGCCGTGGCCCTGCAGAACACCGTCACCTCTCTGCTGCAGGGCAACCACCACCTCTGAGCGGAGGTGCCCCAGCCTGGGCGGGCCCCCAAGAGGGCGAGGGTCACCCCCCTGCTGTCTGGCCAGTCTACCCACTGTGGTCTTTTGCTGGAACACCTGTGATCAGGACTCGAGCTCCCAGGCGAGCGTGCTTGCTCTGGCCCTGCACTGACTCTGCTTGGATTTGCATTTTTGTCTTTTGGGCAGAGGCCGTTCTGAGCCTGTGTAAGTATGGGGTGGGGTGAGGCCAGGGCTGCTGGCCCTCTGTGGACAGCAGAGTCGGGAGCACTGGCAAAGAGCACCCCTGCAAACAACAGCGGTGGAGGAGCTGGGACGCCCGCCCAGCGCATCTCACTTCTCTGCTCTTCCGCAGAGAGGTGCCCGCGTGTGCACAGCTGTAGGCGTGTGCATGCACACACGGCAGGCCTGGTCACACATCACCTCATTTTTAAGAAATCAACTACAAGGTGCCAAGGAGGTTTTATTTCCTTTTTTTTTTAAGATGACAAATGTATAGATATTAATATATTTTTGGTGCCATTGGCAAATATTTTTGAGAGAGGATGGAGCTGGCTTTTCTCCTCCCCACGTGGTTCTATTTATCCTGGACATTTCACACCTCCTCTGTGCCTGGGCTCTGGGCTGGCTGCCCTGACCCACCTCCATCCTTCATCCTCCTGAGATATTTAACGCAAGACTCTCCTCCAGCCCTGCCTGGAGGACGTACTGCACTCTCTGTTCTCCTTGTCTGCCAGGACAGCACATCACATCTGCTCTTCCCTTCCCGTGACTCTACCTCCCTCCCACATCCTTTCAAGGCAAGCCTGGGGGTAGCCGAGAGCCTCCTAGTCTCCTGATAACAGACCTTCTGTGGAACAACTCACCATTCTGGAGGTCAAGGGTTTGTCCAACTGCGGTTGTCAGGGTAAGTCAGGTGGGATGATGAGTCTTTGATGAGCCCAGCATCCACTGCCTGAAGTACCAATAAGAGGCTGCGAAAACCCTAAGACAGCAGCAACAAATTGGGACAGAATAGTCACCAGACCCATCAGAAACCCCTATAGAGGGAGGACAGTATTAGATGGTTAACAAACTGTATTTGTAGCCTTTGTTCAAATGGCCGGGCTGGGTCTTGAGCACCTAAGGAAGGAGCCATCCCTGTGCCAGTTGGCTCCATCTGAGGGATTCGGCCAGGCTCCCTTGGCTTGGCTGGATTTCCTGCTAGTAACATGAAAGGGGTGTGGGTCCAAAGGGAGAGAGGGGTAGGGGTTTGCACCAGCCTGCTGAAGAATGAGAAGGCAAATTCGAATGAGAACACAGATCACAGTTGGTGGAGCCAAACCCCAGGTAGAACCAGCCTTGGCCTCTTCTGCTGGGAAAGAGCAGTGTCTGCACAGCCCCGGGGTGCAGGGAACAAGTCTTCCCTGACTTCCCTCAGTGTGTACGGATTCTTTTGGAAGACTCTCCTTTTATTTTGCTTTAGAGTATGTGGGAGCTGCTGTATTCTGGAAGTTGTGTAGTATAAAAGGACATTATCTGGAAGCTCTGTCTGGTTTACATTTCTGTAGCCCTGTGTTCATTGCCTATCTGAGGGAGTCACAAAGCTCTGTGTTGTCTGTTTTATTTTATAACTTTCCCCCTAACAGAATAAAAGAACTATCATTTTCTGTGTTTCTGCTTTTTTGTTTTTACAGGCCTCTTTTTCCACCTGCAGGGAAATTAATTAAAACAGTTGGTGCATTCAATACAAAGCTTTACCCTTTAAGAGTTAGCAATGGGCCTCAAGTCAAGACAAAAACCTGATAGGTTAAGTGACCTGCCCCTGGTCTGGGCTGCGAGTGCCCGCTGACCCCTGGGCCATGTGTTCTGCTCTCTGCAGTGGCAGTGGGGCCTCCCTCGGGCTCCTGCATCCTGACTGACTCATGGCTCTCCTCCGATGGGTGCGGCCACTCCAGGTCCTGTCTTGGCTCCTCTTCCCTGCACCCCGCCAGGACCACAGGAGTAAAAGCCCCATTCCCAAGCAGCAGGGCACAAAGTTCACATCACTGCTGGGTCAGACACCTAGCTGTAGGGATGATCACACCTGCGCAGCACTTGTTCTGGGTCAGGTGCACTCGTGTTTCATGCATATTAGCTCATTTGATCTTCCAGCCACCCTCCAAGATAGAGGCTGTTATCCCCACCTGGCAGAGAGAAGTTGGGCAGCTGGCCCAAAGTCTCATGACTAACTAGTAGGGGAGCTGGGATAGAAACCAGACAGCCCAGCTCAGGGTCTGCGCTTGGAGCACCGCACACACAGCCGGTGGAGAGACCGGCAGGCAGCTTGGCACCTCTAGGCAATTCAAAGTCAAAGGAAACTTAGAGATTACCTGTCTGTCCCCATCATCTACCCAGGATCGCTGGGGGGACCCTGGCCCCCGAGTCCCAGTTCAGTGTTCTTCCATCACCCTCCTGCCAGGGATGGAGGAGGGTCTGCCAGGCCTGGGCCCTTGGTGTATGTATGTTCAGGAGGTGTGAGGAGGGTTGGTAGTCCTGGTGCCATGAGGAGAAAGGAAAACATTGATCTGACCTCTAAGGCTCCCTGTGTGAAGCACAGAGGATTGGAAAGGGCCCCTAACCCTCCTTTTGTCTCTAAGTAGCCAGGCACAGGGGATTTCTCTTTATCTCTAGAAGCCTCCCAATTTTGAAAGGCCAACCAAATCCCATTTTTACATGTCCTGAGATGAGCAGGGCCCATTGTTGGGAACCGATGATTAACCGCTATGTAAACTTTAGGAGAAGCAGGTTTCCAGGAAGCCAGGGATGGGGGTGGGGGGCGGGTTCCTGACTCCCTCTGAGTCTGCTCTCCCCCACTCCTCAGAAGACCTCGAGGTGGGGGGACTACGCAGACAAGCCCTTCCCTAGAAGGGTCGGGCCAGACAGTCATATTTCAAGGGCCCATAATGAGCTATGGGCTGTGCAGGATGGATGCCTTGAGGGGGACAAAAGCCGTGTAGGGCCCTCCGCACACTGGGAAATAGGCCGCAGCCAGGCCAAGAGAAGAGATTAATGCAAGTCAATGTGTAACTAAGGGTAAATGGTGTGGCCAGGCTACAAATGTGGTGGAACTCAAAAAGGTTTTTGCATCTGAAAGAATAAAGACTTCTAGGAAGAGGTGGGGTCCAGCTGGGCTGGGGAAACAACTGAGGGTCCCGAAAAGAACAAAAGAGGAAGGAAGGTGTTTCAGGGAGGGAAAGAGTGGGACCAGACCCAGAAGACAGGAGGTGCAGGCTCTGGGGCCGGCAGAGGGCCTCCCCATATCACTGATCTGCATGCCGTCATTCATTTGGGGCCACACCGGGTGTTTTCTGAGCCCTGCCCAGGTGCCAAAAAGAACTCATAACAAAACAAGATTCTGAGAGAAGGGAGAGCTGGGCCTTATGGAGGATGAAGGGAGAGTCCTATTTTTACAGCTAAAAACCAAATGGCCAAGTGTAGGGTGGGGGGACATTTACAGCAACCAGAAGTGCTGTGAAGGCTTATACTTTGTATTTTTATGTATTTTCTAATTTTTTTACAATGAGAACATACTATTTTTACAATCAGAAGAAAATTAAGTTATAAAACAATCAGGGGTTTTAGTCGACTGGAAGTTCAACATGTCACCAGGGGACAGGGCTGTCCAAAGAAGAGCTAGTGTGACCTGGATGATTTGGGAAGAGTGATGTCAGCAGCCAATACCAATACCCGCCCCCCAACCCCCACCCTGGGCTGGCCTCAGTCTGCAGGGAAAGAGCGGGGGTGGGGTTTGAGGCCCAGCCCTGTCTCTGGCTGTGTGGCCTTGAGCAAGCGACCTAACTTCTCAGTTTCCTCATCTATAAAATGAGGTGGGTTCCCAAGTTCAAACGTCCCTTTCTGTCATAACTTCGTGTCTCTAGGCCCCCCTCTCAATAAAACCCTTGAAGACACTCACTGACAAACTGCAGCTGAGATGCGGGGGCGCTGAAGGCTGAGAAAGCTGCTCTGTGAGCTGGGAAGAGCAACAGCTTGGCTGCTGGCTTGAAGCAAGGGGATCCGATCAATCCACAGGATTCCAGTGGATCTGCTGGGCAGAACCTGGATGGAGAGGTGAGCGTTAGTGGGGAGAAGACCCCACTGCAGGGAGCCCTGGCACTGCCGAACTTGGAGCAGCTGCTTGGATGGGAGGAACCCTGGGCACCGTCACTGAGGGGCTGCTGGCCCGGGCTGGGAAGCCATTGGTTAGGAATTTCTACAGGGACTCAGGGGTGGCACTGAACACTGGACAAAATAATCTTCTAGGCTTTCCACCCACGATATTCTAAAAGGCTGAGCAGTGGTCTGACTTCCAGACCTAATCACCATTCCCAAGAAGAGCCAGAGTGAAAATGCCAGTGAAGAGAACGGAATGGAAAAGAAAACACTGGAAGCCAGGGACCTGTTGGGAGGCCGCGCTCGGGTGGTGAAGACCTGGACTTGCTGAGGGAAGGGCTTCCCTCTCACTGCTGCTGGCCCTGGCCCATCCTCTGGGGCCACCAAGGATGAGTCAACTCCCTCAGGCGATGGCAACCATCTGACCCAGGATGTCCCGCCCTCTTCATGTCAAGACCAATCTGCTTCCTTCACTCCTCACGCTAGCCCCCTTCCCAAGTTTCGAGTCTGTTCTGATACTCCATCCCTCACCCTCCAGGCTAACACCTCCTAGCTTTTGAGTCCCTGGAACCCATCAGTAACTCCATCAATTCTCCCTCTGGGATGGCCCTCCTTGCCTGGCGGCTCTCCTCCTGGTGGCAGGCTCACTGACTCGCAGGGGCTCAAGTCCAGCTCTAGCACTGCAGGGGAGCTGAGTCTGGGGTGGAGATTCTGGGCAAGGGTGGTACACTGAGAATGAGATCTTCCAGGTTCTGTTTCCTGAATGTGAGAGCCAGGTATCAAGTGACCGATGTCTTCTGATCCTCATTCGCTCTGTACATAAAATGGATGAGAATACTTCTACATCATCAAGCTTTCAAAGTAGAAGAAAACACAAATCAGGTATCTAAAAACGTGCTCAGAGATGTGAGGGGTGGGGAGAAGCAACCCTGTGTAACCTGACTAATGTCAGACGGGTGCACCTGCCGGTCCTCAGACTTCACCTCTGACTTCAGACTTGGGGGCAGCTAGCATGCCCCCACTCCCACCTTCCCACCCCCACAGGGAGGAAACCTGGGCAGAGCCGCCCCTGGCAGGCAGCAAGGGAGTGCCACAGAGCCAGTGCTCTGTGTCCAGGCTGCAGGGCCACAGCGGTATTGCTCACAGCTAAGCCCCGAGCTCTTGGAGCCACGTCACCAGTCCCTTAATAGCAGCTAATCACTGCTCGCATTTATTGAGCTCCTACTATGCGCAGCAGGCACTGAGCTACGCTTCTCTCTGACATCATCACTCACCCCCACAACAACTCTGAGAGGTAGCTATTATAGTTCCTATTTTTGGACAAAGAAATTGAGGCTCAGGGAGATTAAATGTCTTGCTCAAGGTCATATGATCAGTAAGTGAGGAAGCCAGGCTCCGGTCTGAGGCCCGCTGGGCTCTCAGGCTGGACACTCGTCTCACCATGATTATGAGATGGGAGAGCCTTTCCTTGCAGGTCTCCATTTATGGGCGCTGAGCATCTACTCTGCGCCGAGTGCTGTGCTGATGCAAAGACGAATAAGGTCCCTGAGCTCCGGGGTTCACTTCCGGTGGGGGAAGCCCACATGGCCCAGTCCATGGAGGGGGAGAGCAGAGGAAGCAGGAAGGGGGCCAGGTGCCCTGGGCTCTGCCCTTGAGCAGAGCTCTCTGAAGCCCCCAAATGTCCCCTCGTCAGCAGAACTGAGAAAAGGGAAAGGAGGGAGAAGCCCTGATGGATGAGCCCCCCCCCCGCCGCCGCCGCCGTCTGCCTGCTGGCTTGTGTGCTAGCCCTGAGGTCTGGACTCGTACTGTCTCCCCAGATGAGGAAAGGGAAGCCTGAAAAGGTTAACGAGCGGCCAAGGTCACCACGGCTGCCTGGCAGAGTGACCACTACGCAGGCACCTGGCTGAAGCCCCCAGGCTCTCGCTGATGGGCAACCCACTGTCTTCCCAGGAAATGTGTGGGAATATAAGAGAGAGTTCTGGAAACTCCTAAGCCAACAAGTCCTTGGCGAGAGACCAAAGGGGCCAGGGGTGTCCAGGTCTAGATCCTGCCACAGAAATGTTTGTTCCTATTAAAGTCACAGCCACAGCCATCTTTGAAATGGAGACAGGGTGAGCGGGGAGGCTCAGGGGATGGACTGTGGGTCAGGATGTTCCAAACCCACAGCAGCTCTGAGTGAACTCCCAACACCGCCCCTGTGCATACCCTGACCTCCTCCCTACAGTCCCAGTTTTCCGAGGTAGTGATCTTGGCCAGTAAGAAACTCATCCTGTCTTCACCACCTCGGCCTGGCCAGTCCAGCCATCTCCTGCCCGGCCCCTCCAGGCCTCCCCCGCCACAGGGAGGGGGGTGACTCCAGGTAACAGGCCCGGGCGCCTCCCCCTCCCCACGCGCAGCGGTGAGTTGAAGGAGGCCAGGAGAACTGGTAGGACTTGTGTTCCTTTTGCCGGAGGCACAAAGGAACCTGGAACCTGCCAGCAGTAATAACAGGGCAAAAGAGCGGACCAGCCTAAGACTGAAGAAGAGGAGGGCAGGCTGGCTGTCAGCATCCCTGCCATTAGGGCCTTGCTCAGAAGGAAGAGGGGCAGTTGGAGAGTGGGGTCCTCTTGTTCCTGCCGTGACAGACCCTCATATCCAACAAGACAATTCCCTGTAACACTAATACCCTCTGCACAGTCTCCTCCACCATCCATCCTCCCAGGGGTTCTGAGAAGGTCACATCAGGGTTTTCTGAACTATCACACAGGAACCTCTGGGGGTCCACCCCACCCCTCCGGGCAGCACTGGTGTACGCTAAGGAGGCAATGAGGTCCTGGAGGTTGAGGTAGAAGGGATGGGAGCCACACTTACGGCGCTTGGCACCCAGGCAGGGAGGAATGACATTCCCTAAGGAGACCAGGGTGCTTCTAGAGGTGAGCGCTGGAGGAGGAGCCATCTACAAAGTTTGCTTTGTTTGTGGGGAATTTGTTAAAGAGAAAGTAGAGGAAAAAGAGCAAAGCATCCATGGTCTGGTTGGGACAGTTGAGGGAAATGAATATATACCCAAATTTGAACTGGTGTGTTAGGATGCAATGTCAAAATGAGTCTTTGGCAGACAAAATTTTAGCCTTAATATAAGGAGTTCTTACATACCAATTTAAAAAAGAAAATATACACCATTGAAGACTGGCAAATAGTATGGATGAGCTATTCATGAAAGAGGTTCAAATGATAAAAATCACAAAAAGTTAAACTTCATTCATAATCAAAGAAACAAATATTAGAATCAGATATAGAAGTCTATTATAAAACTATAATAATGAAAAAGTAGGAACAATCTAAATGTTTACCTGCAGAGTACCATGAAAAATTATAATGACATATTACGCATCCATTAAATATGATGTTGTGAAAGCATTTACTAACAGAAAGTGTTTATAATGTATTAAGCTTAAAAAGCAGATTCCAGGGGGAAGGGTATAGCTCAGTGGTAGAGTGCATGTTTAGTACTTAACACAAGGTCCTGGGTTCAATCCCCAGTACCTCCATTAACAAAAAAAAAAAAGAAAAGAAAAGAAAAAAAGAAAGAAAGAAAAGAAAAAAGGAGAAAAAATTAAAAAAACAAAAAAGGCAGATTCCAAAACAGTGTTATGGGTAAACACATTTTCTATTTTTGTAATTAAGAGTGAGTCCCTCCCCGTGTACATCATAAAAGTTCTGAAAGACTATAGATACCACAATGTTCACAATACTAAGTTATTCCTCAATGGTGGAATTATGATTTTTATTTTCATTTGTTTGTATTTTGTACTTTTCTACAATGATCCCATATTGCTTTTGTAATGAAACCTTCTTGGTGACTTTGAAGAGTCCTTGGCAGAGGAGATGTAAAAATCGTTACTTTATGTACACAGTCTTTACCAAGAAGTGGAATGTCTTCTCCCACTTGCTGATCACAGAGGTGAGGTGGGATGGGAATGGGTGGGAGGTCTGAGGTCACATGGGGCACAGACATAGGGCCAGGAAAGACATCCAGGTATCCCAACTCTGATGTTGCTCTGAAACCCCCACGGGGACCACGACCTTGCAGAGAAAGCACAGAGGATTTGGAGCTGGAGGACGTGAGTGAATCCCAGGTCTACTAGTTGACACCGAGGAAGCCACTTTATCTTTCTGAAACTCAATGTCTATAAAGTGGAGGTAACAGTAACACAGGATTATTGTGAGGATTAAATAAGATAATTATATTATTTGCAAGGTATAAAGCCCCAAACAAATGATAGACGTTGTAGGTAATAACATTCATCACCGGTTCAGGCTTAGCAAGAGAGCTGGCTAGCTGCCGCAGTTAAGTCTGTGCCGGCTGTCAAGAATGCTGGAGGTGAGGGGCATGTTCCCATGTGGTTCAGGAAAACGCTTGGATTTCCTGGTCCATAGTCATAGAATATAAAAATGAAAATAAAATAAGAATAAAAAGAGTTCAGAGGAAAGTGTTCGGGGACCCACTGACTACTCTTTGAGGGTAGAATATGTAGCCAGTGATGAGAACTCCCTGGTTAGTCATGCACTGGGCAGTGGGAAGGGGGAGAAAATGGCGCATAACCAAAGGTCTCTGACCCCCTTCACGTAGAGTTGTTTACAGATATTTTGGCAAAGTGCTTGGGGGCTGAGGTGGGTGGACTAAGGATGCCACAGCTTGTCATCTATTGGGAGAGGCTGGGTGGTGGTTCTGGTTAGATGGGTCCCCACCCTGCACGAGATGGGGGAAGTCATGGCTTCTGGGCGGAGGTGGCAGGCACGCTCATGAATCATAAGCCCCTCTTGTTCAGAACCGGTTAGCTGGTTCTTACAGCACCATTCATGGCTTTTACACAGGATGGCCCCAGACATCCTCAAAGAGTACCACTTTCTTCATCCAACTGGATGAAAGGGTTTTATTGATCAGATGACAAGCTTTCTAATATTGA